TTTGAACCTGGGGACACATAGAGATACAAAAAGAGAATCTTTTTTTTAAGCTTTTGTAGAAATTGATATGTGTCATCATTAAGCTTCTATTTGCAATAAAGTATCTACTCAAGCAGAGTTCTTGTCTCCCCCAAGACCTAGTTTTAGAGAAATAATTATTGCACAGGCTTTGGAGGGTCTTCTTACAACTAGTTTCAGTTATTTGACCTAATTCTATTGACTCAATTAGATTCTGTTATTTGACCTAATTCACATTTCTATTATTACTACTCCTCATTCCTTTCTCAAAAGCACTCTGAAGCTAACTTCCAACAGTTTTCACAGCCTCTAAACCTCTATGTCAGACATGTCAAACTCACAATGTCACGTGACGTTGCGCAACATATCAGGACAGTTTTGCCATTGCCGGCAATGGGGTGGGCGTGGCTTTCGGATGATGCATCCGGCCCATGGGCCGGCAGTTTGACACCCCTGCTCTATGTGCTAAGAACATTAAGAGGCAATCTGTAAGAATGGGGGAAAAACATTCAACCAATGGGACATTGCTTCATTCAAATGTGTGAATTAGTCCAATGATTTTTTTAAAAAAAAAAGTAAAATGGGAGAGCTACAAAGCTATGATCACAGTATTCCTCAATCACACTTAAAAGCCATGAAAAAAATAGCAGCTGAGCGTAAGCTTTGAACCCAAGGCGAACAGGAGAACATTCTGCCATGGGAATCTATCCCATCCATATTGTCTTCAGTGTGGTCAGAAATATATTGGTTCCACCAAGAAACAGATGCTGTGGGATAGCATAGCTGGGGTTAGTGAGTCATGAGCAACACAAAATTCCACATGAAAGTGCTATTATAGCCCTAAGTCTAATTAAAGACTGATCTTAGAACCCTTTCAAATAAGACTGTCCCCACTGTGGTGAAGTTCAAAACATGAGAACACTGCACCCATCCACCACTCTCCTTCCAACTGCACAGAAAAATCAGCATATTTCCTTAGTACTCATGTAACATTTGTTACTTCAATGAATGTTTTATTTTTTAAGAAAACTGTGCTGTGCAGAAAACTGTATAAATGCCTCAATGGTGGTCAAAAAACACTGAAAGGATAGCATAGCCTGCAGCTGTGTTCCTGCTACACAAGTAGTCTTCAACTTACCAGCCCACAATTTCCATTGTAAATTAAGATGGTTATAGGTTGATGCACTCACATGATCTACTTGATTCTGAGATTTGTTTGTTTGTTTATGCAATGAGCCTAAATGTGGCAGTTGTAAAACAAATGCCATGATCATTAAGCAAACACCTCAGTCATTAAGTGAATCCATTTATTTGTATGTGCATTTTTGCTGGAAATTAGCTCCAAAGGCTGGAAACTGGCCAAAAAAAAAAATCTTTATAAATTGTGGTTACGTGACCATGGAATGTTGCAGCTGGCTGTAAAAGTGAGCCAATTCACAAGCACCTATACTGCCATCAGATCTCCAGAACTGGATTGTAAGTATTTTTTGGGGGGGGGGGAGGAATCTATTGTAAATTTGAATGGTTACTAAGTGACTAGTTGTTAAGCGAGGATTGCCTGTATGAAGTGAAGAAAATTAATTAAGCAAGTGACAGGATAAGACAAGGGTTACTGCCAGTGGAAACAATCAGTTCATAAACTCCAGCATTCTTAAAGTACAATTGCCTTTGCTGCAGTTTGTCTTATCAACTGTTTGAGTGAGAATTCAGATTAGCTCTCTAACAGGAGGCTGCCAAATCAAAGGACCCCAGAACCAGCTGGGAAGAGACATATAAGATATGTATGGAATGGCTCCAGTGGCTCAAAGATTGCACTTCAAAAATAGGCAGGACCAAGGGAACATTCTGGGAGGGAGGTACAGGAGTTTTAAGTGAAGTTCATAGAACCTCTGCCCACGTATCAACATTGTTTATATGATTGTAGATTGTAGATTCACCACTTATGGTTGCAGTTCAGACCCCCTAAAAAGTCTGCAATTGCAGACTTCCACACCACCACCACCCGCCTTAGAAGATCCCATATTATTCTTTCCTCTAGTCTATCCCCTCTCTTCATTGGGAGAGAAAAGTTATTTTTAGCATGCAAATCTCTGCAAAGCAAGATGGTGAGAAAACCTGTTCTTGAATCAGACTTGCTATGGCACAAGATATTCTATATATAACTGTGCCGGTGAAAAAAGTACATCTTTTGGACTTCAGTAATTAAAATGTAAAAAAACACACCAGCTTTTCTTTTGTTGCATCACATCTTCACACTCAATTCATAGCATTGCCAATTTGCTTGAAGCAAGAATGCCTTCATCCACCCACCCCTCCCCAAATTAAGCAGTACAATATAATGTTGAAGAGATAATATTGCTCTTAAATTTTGGGCTGTCTGGAATTCTGCAGAAAGTATGTTTAGGGAAGAGGAGAGCTAGAGATATAAATAATTTGTTCAGAGAGTGTTGAAAGGAGTGGCATGATAACAACATTATTGTTCGCAGTACACTCAGTCTACTATTATTTTGAGTCACATATTTACAGTTTTTTGTGATTTGTCTAACAGCTGCAACACTGGTTTCAACAGAAACAGCTACTGATCAAAAGAATATAACATCATCACCACAACTAATGCCTCTCCTGCATTACTTTCAGCTTACACAAAAACGCTATCTGTCATCAACCAACAACTACAAAGCTTACTGCCCACATTCAGCAGATCATGCCTTACAAATCAAACACCTAATATCCCAGCCTTAATCTTTAGGTATTTGTTTTGAAAATGTCTTTGTGTTTTCCCATCAAGGGTATTTTTGTTAATGCGATCATTCATAATCAGTTTTCTATCATAATAACACATACAGTGGATTCAGAATTATGACTTCACTAGATTAAGAGGAATGGAGCCACACTAAAATACAATGGTATTTTTACCACCAGGAAGATGCATTGTCTTTGAAAAAGGAAATGAGTTTAGTTGATTGTCATCAAATGTTATATAAACCTGAATATTTTATTTGGTTTCTATGCATCTTTCTGCTCTGGCAAGCACTCAAGATGCAACACTTAAAAAAAAACCAAAATATAAAATTTAAACATACCAATTACAATTTGTAACAAATTTAATACTAAGTTCATCTAGCAGTGAAAAATCTGGTGAAAGAGATGTGTTTAAATTGTGAAAATGTGAGTACACACTTATTTGAGAATGTTTATAAGATGGTTACTTAAGAGAGGCAATGATTCTAAATCAGGTATTGTATAAGGTATCACCATTGTTTAAAGGCAGAAACAAGGCAAGGAATATAATTAGGAAATCCACTTATGTGGAATCCTCTTCCATGGTGGAGAATAACTTATTACATCAGTTTTCCTCAAACACTTAATCTATCTCTCAAGTTTTCAACAGATGAATAAGAAATTTCCCAAAGACCTGGCAGACAGTTCAAGACTCTGGTTATCTACCAGAATGAGGAAAAAGAGATTAGGATGCCTGACTGGATTGCAGTAGAATAATCTCTCTTGTAGCTCAACTGCAGCTCTTTGGTTTACTAAACTAAAGAGCTCAGAGAAGTGAAGCAGCTGACGCCAGTCCTAGAACATCACTGGAAATTAGTAAACCCATCTGGAGTGTGACTACATACTGGTAAAAGCTCATGTTCAGATCTATAAAGAGGTGTGATTTTTGCCATCCCGATTGTGTCTGCAGAATGCTACTCAACCCTCTTTAAATTCTGTCTTGGGAAAAGATGTTCACCAAGACTATCTGAAAGCTCACTGTGAAGAAATGGATAATGAAACTGTTCAGATTCAAGAAGAATTGGGCTCTACAGATGCTAATATGGATGCCTCGGATTTCATACTGAGTGATCTAAAATCATTTCAAATCTGTAAGTTCTGGAAGAACAGATAGTGACTTTGTAGTTTCAGTTCCACCATTCTCTATTTGCATCTTTGTCTCTCATGGTTGGTAAGTTCCACTATAAGGTGAAAGGAGGTTGGATTTGGATAGTAAACGTTTCTTTGAATGTGAGGGTATTTCTGTCATCTCACAAGAGGCTATGGAATGTGTCTGCTCAAGAAGACTTTACTCACTCTCAACTATGTGGGATAATTTTAGATGTCTCCAGCTTTTTTAGAAAGATTTAGAGAGAATCGTAGTCCTGCAACTCCAGAGAATCCTAGAGGAAGCAAATTATATGGACCCTTGGCTGGCAGGTTTTGGAGCAAGTACAGAAACAATGTTGGTCACACTTATGGATGACCTATAGAATCATCATGATTGGGAAGTGTAACTGGCCTGGTCTGCTTTGATTTTCCAGTAGTTTTCTAAACTATTGACTATGATATCCCACTGACTTGTTTCCAAGGAATTGGAGTTGGGAGGGGGGATATTTTGTAGTGATTCTCCTACTTTCTGACGTTGTAGGTCCAATTGTTGGAGAGAAGAGCTTTGCCAGAGAATTTAAACTATCTCTTTTTATATGCATTTATATGAACTGGATCATTTGAATTCAGTTTGCTCTACTTTCCTCCCATGTTTTAAATATTTTTGTTCTTGTTTTAAAAGTGCACCTGTACAGTTTGTACAATTAACTTTCTGTTACCTTAGAAAACAATAGAAGGTATGTGATATTATGAGCCTACTTAACCAATACCCCATGGGGGTACCATTCTACCCACACTTCTGCATATTTGCAAAACCAGTTTTTCATACTTTATCTCTGAAAGAACAAAATTGCACCAAGTAAATACTTGCTTGGAACCTAGTCTCGCTGAATCCAGTAACTTTTGCTTCCAAGTAAATATGCTCAAGTTCATATTGGAGAGAGAGAGAGAGAGGGAGGGAGGGAGGGGGAGGGAGAGAGAGAGAGAGAGAGAGAGAGAGAGAGAAATCTATCTACCTATATCTATCTATCTATCAACAAGTATTTTTCTCCAATTTAGCTAAAAAGCAGCAGTGAAGGTGGAAGTTGTGAAAGAATTAATGCTGAACTTACAGTATCTCCAGTTCCCTGATTTTTCTTTCTTCAGTAATTGTTTTCTCTAGAATTATATGTCAATGGGAACAAATACTAAATTTTAAAAAACAGGAAAAGCAGTTGCCAATAAAGTTGAAGGGTGAATTTCCTTCAGGTATATTCTGAAGCTAAAGGAGAAAAGGAGAAACAACTGATTTGAAAACACCTCAGTTTCTTCTCATTAAATTTCTCTCCACATATGTGCATGTTTCCTTTTTCATCTTAGATTTTCCTTCCAGCCTTACATCAAGCTTAAAGGAAAGGAATATTCCACCAAAATAAAAAAAATATACAGAAAATACTAGCACATTAGTTCATCCTAACGTGTGTGAATCTGACATGAATGCATAAAAGAACCAGCTGGTATAACTAGTGTGCAGTTGTGTCCAAACTCTGGATACTGAATTTATTCTGTTAACCTTGGTTAAATGAGTAGTGTGAATACAGTACATTCTCTTCTGAGAATGTTTTTATTTTATTTTCAAAAAACGATACAGGCGCTTTCAAAACAAGGGATTTAAGCTTCCAATCTTAAATACCAAATAAGAAAGGAAAATGTCCATTCCAGTTTGCTTCTGCACATGGAATGAGAAGACGCCATCTTGCCCTTCAAAATACTTATTTGGGCTAATTTAATCCTGTCTTCAAACTGAGAGAACCATTTGGAATCTATATACTCAAACACACTTTAAAAACAAAAATCCTTTTTCATCCCTTATGTTTTCATCCATTGTTAATACTGACTGGAGAGAAAATAAGAAGAGCAAAAATTTGTAGGTGTATGTGTGTATGAGAGTGTTTAGGATGGCAGTTGAAGGCAAAGTTTTTATGGACTGTAATGGCTGAAAACAAACTCTCCACATCTTAATCCACTTACCTCTTCCTTCTGCTGCCATCTTGGCTTTACATAAAGCCAAGTACTCCCCTGAATTTGCAAAACAATAGGTTCTCCAATCAGAAACTCAGACCTCCACACTTAACACTTTCACTGCACAGCACCCTCTGCAGGATTTCAGTAAACATTCAAAATTTCCTTTTCTTAAACTCCTAGCAGATATTTTCCAAAACACTGCTAACAAAAGCAGCAATATCCATCTTAATTTGACACTAGTCATTCCATTTAAGAAAAAGTAGCCAGGCATAATTCTATCTGTTTTACCAGAGGAAGCATTTTGTTGATCCCATCATTTGGGGTGCATAAAATTTTGATTTTTTGCACCTAACAGCTTAATGATTTCTACATCTTTTGGATGAAATTACTATTGACCTTAGTAAATCCACTAGAACAGAATTATAGGAATTGTAGTCTGGAGGGTGTCAAGTTGCTTATTCCCAGGAGTGTCCATAGCAAAGAAGTTCTAAGCCCCATCTTTACATTCCTGCATTATGATCTTATTGGGGATAGGGATTATGTAGTGACATCGCTGCACAAGCTCAGATATTGCAAATCACATCTCATTCCTTGCTTGCTGCCGAAAAACGAGACCAGCCAGCTTTTTTTCTGCTTGTAATTGCCAATTACCGGTCATGAGCAGATTGGCAGTTGTCTGATTTTGCCAGCAAGTAATTATTAAACTCTTGTATTCCTTTTCTTTTGCTCTTCCTTGCTTGATCTAAAAAAAAAAAATCTGCAAATTGAGTTATGTTAATTGACTTCACTACCTGTGGTGCAGATACTCGTACCCTCTCTTACCATAATGTATCTACCTATGTACCTAGATACTTAGAAACCTTGGAAAAACAATTTCCATAAAAAGTTAGGCTGTTCTACAATATGCTTCTCCTTAAGCAGTGATATAAATTCTAATGCAAAACTTCAGTTTTACAAAAACCAAAACTGTTCTAGAAACTACAGAATGTGATTCTCAGTGTGATAGTATGAATGCTCTTCCTTTGATACTTATTGGTACCAAAATATAGGTAGTCCCAACTTATGACTATAATTGAGTCCAACATTTCTGTTGCTATGTGAAACATTTGTTAAGTGAATTTTGTCCCATTTTGCAACCTTTCTTACCACAGTTATTAAATGAATCACCGCAGTTATTAAGTTAGTAACATGGTTGTGAAGTGAATCTGGCTTCCCCATTGATTTTGCTTGTAAAAAGATTGCAAAAGTTGATCACATGACCTAGGGATGCTGCAATTGTCATAAATACGAGTAAGTTGCCAAGTATCCAAATTTTGATCACATGACCATGGGGATGCCGCAATGGTCGTAAGTGTGAAAAATAGTCATAAGTCACTTTTTCAGTGCCATTGCAACTTTGAAAGGTCACTAAATGAACTGTTGTAAGTTGAGGACTAATTGTACGCATAAATTTTTCAGAGCCTTTGCAGGCTTGTTCCACCAAAATTTCAATTTCAAGGATTATGATTTTCAGTCCTTTTTTGTCCATTAATGTATAATATAATGCATCCATTTTGCTTTTGTCAGAAAAGTTTTTTCATTTTTGCTTCCAGTTAAATTACTGCAACATGTACATGTTTCCGCTGTTATCAGCGGCATCCCATCCCCCAAATTAACTGCTTCTTTTTAAAAATATCCTTTTTCTACGATTAATTCCAAACCTAAAAGTGAATTTTTCTAAAAGAAAACTGGCTGCAAGAATTGGTCAGTAATCTGCATATGTATTTCCCTTTGGTCTCAATAGCCATCCTTTTTGTGAACTTTGATAAATAACTAGAGCAGGTCTTTCTTTTTGAGGCATGTTTTCATACATGTTTTCATACCTATCACATCTACTTTGACCTTTACTGTACTGTTAAGCCTTGCCAATGCCAGAATTATTTTTTATGAAAAAAGAACACTATTTATTCTAGCTTATTTAGTTATTTCCAAGCCTTTTCAATATAGCCTGATAACCTCTACATTTCATGGTACCAAGTCAATATTAAATATCCTTATTTTTTTAAAAAAAAATTGTAACCACCTTACAGAGCTCCAGTTGATTTTTCTGTTGCTCAGATAGCAGACAAACTGTTACTATAAGAAATGAATAAACACGTTTTTAATTCTGAAGTTTCTGATAGTTTAAATATTTCATCAATTGGGCAAAGGGCCAGCACTTCTGTCCTATCTCGCGTTAAACCTATTTAGAACAGTTTTGATTTATGCTCCATCTTAACAAAGCCTTATTTTATTTTAGTGTCAGACTTTCTTTTTGTAGTCTTTATTAGCAATATTCTTACTAACAACAATAAATTAAGAATTATTAAATATGCTTTGAATTCTCTGTATTTATGTATAACAGAGTTTTATATATAAGGTCACGTTAACTGTTAATCTGTGCTCCTTACAACTTCAGCTACTGTTTACTAAACTTTCTGTAAGCTTTCCAATGTTTGTCTGTCAAAAGTCTTGGGCTTGTAATGCTGCATGAGAAAAACATCAATAAAACCCTATAAAATCAGTTCTTATAGCAAGTCCCACACTCCTAACTTTAACTCCCTATATTCTTGGCTTCAGTTTCCTGGGACATTGTTCTGTAATAAAAATTAAAATTGATATGTTCTTCATCAACAGCGAACAGTCAAAATCTTCAATGTAGGAGCATTTTCTTAACATTTCATTGTGCAATGCCCAGACAACTACTTACCTCTAAGGGATGGGTTAATGTTCCATGTTTTATGGGTATTTACAATGTTTTTGAGATTTCTTTCACATATGCCAATTACAAGTTGTAGCTTAATCTATTGGAGAATCATAATGTTTCAAGATGCTTTCTCCAGACTCCAGAGCAGATCAAGGTTGCAAAGAATCTCCAATGGACATAACCTAATACATGCATCTTGACAGATACATAGTTGACTAACAACTGTTCAGATTATAAAATGGTAGAATGTCATTAAATAATGCTTTGCAGCATTTATACAGAATCCAAAAACAATGGGATACATTGAAGCTATGGCATCCCATTCTGTTATATAAAGGACAAAAACATATAGTTCACTCTAAATCTATAAGTACAGTATCTACAAATGAGTTTCTCATAAACTTTTAAGCACTGAAAAATATGGAAGTTTTGAACACAACACCATTCTTGGAACTTCCTCGAGCTTTCTCAGAGCTGCTTCTCTGAATATTTGTTAATCCTCTTACCTGATGTAGATTGTTATTTACTGAAGCCCATGTTAAACAAGAAACCTCTATTATGGGCCACACATAATATTTAGGAAAGGTTTTTTCCTTTTAGTGTATATCTAAAGAATGAATGAAACAATATATTTGTATATAAATACAGGTGCACATCAAAGGACGAGGAGTACTGTAACTGCCATGTATATAACAGTTGGCTTGGTCATTTTGTAATGCATGCCATCTTTTTAGCTTCATGGGGGAGAAAGGGATCATCACTGTTATTTCACCCAGTGAGAATGAAAAAAGGGGCATACTGTTTTTAATACATCTAATCTACTTAATACACTAGTTTGGCAATGGTAAATAATAATAATAATAAGAAGAAGAATAAGAATATCTGAAGAACAATGATGAAGATGCACTGAAATTAGTATATCAGGAAGGCTTACTAACTACTGGAGAGACCAAACTGGCCTACAAGAAAGACCAAATGAAGAACAGAATAGAGGCATGGGAAGACAAAGCACTACATGGCCAATACATGAAAAAAATAGCTGGGAAAGCAGATAATAATAAAACCTGGCAATGGCTAAGAGCAGGAAAATTGAAGAAAGAGACCGAGGGACTAATTCTGGCTGCACAAGACCAAGCCTTAAGGATAAATGCATACAAAGTCAAAATTGAGAAGACAGCAACAGACAGTAAGTGCCGCCTATGCAAAGAAGCTGAAGAAACAGTGGACCACTTGGTAAGCTGTTGCAAGAAGATTGCACAAACTGATTACAAGCAGCGGCATGACAAAGTAGCAACAATGGTGCATTGGAAGATCTGCAAAAAATATCATTTGCCTGTAAGCAAAAACTGGTGGGATCATAAAATAGAGAAAGTCATAGAAAATGATAAAATTAAACTGCTCTGGGACTTCAGAATTCAAACAGACAAGCACCTGCAACATAACACCCCAGACTTAACAATTGTCGATAAGAAAGACAAAAAAGTCTGGATAGTGGACGTGGCAGTGCCTGGAGATAGCAGAATAGAAGAGAAAGAACTGGAGAAGATAACAAAATACAAAGACCTACAAATAGAAATAGAAAGACTGTGGCAAAAGCAAGCAAGGGTAGTACCAATAGTCATAGGCGCCTTGGGTGCAATCCCAAAACAACTGGAGCACCACTTGAACACCATTGGCATTGACAAATTCGCTATTAGTCAATTGCAAAAGGCGGCCTTACTAGGAACTGCTTCCATCCTGCGACGATATCTGTAATACCATCAAACATCCACATCTGCCTATCCCAGGTCCTGGGTAAGGACTCGATAGGTAGACAAAATGCCAAATCCAGTCTGAACATCTGGCTGACTGTGCGATGATCGATATAATAATAATAATAATAATAATAATAATAATAATAATAATAATAATAATAAAGTTGGAAGTGACCTTGGAGGTCATCGAGTCCAACTCCCTGCTCAGGCAGGAACCCTACACCATTTCAGACAAATGGCTGTCCAGTCTCTTCTTAAAAAATTCCAGTGTTGGAGCATTCACCGCTTCTGGAGGCAGGTTGTTCCATTGGTTAATTGTTCTAACTGTCAGGAAGTTTCTCCTTAGTTTTAAGTTGCTTCTCTCCTTGATCAGTTTCCATCCGTTGCTTCTCGTCCTGCCTTCAGGCGCCTTGGAGAATAGCTTGACTCCCTCAAGGAGAAAGCTTCTAATTTTGGCATATTACTTCAGCCTGGATTACATATCTGGGAATCCAATCAGCATTCTTAAATAAGATCTTGGCAAATGTTTCACATATCCAAGAAAACTAGTCCTGTCCGTATTAGACTCAAGAGATTAGAAACCAAGTTTTTCTGACTTTAATTGTTGTCATGGACATCAGATCTAAC